ATCTTATGTGTTCCACAATGGTACGTGCCACCATTTTCTCTCTGCTCTCTCTCATTCATTCTCAAAGCCACCATTCACTCAATGCAGACACCTCTCATCAAGGCTCACAGACTCCAACACTCACTCCAACAGGGTTATGCATCATATCCGTGGCTGTCACCTACCTCGTCCACCCTAACTGCCATCACCTCCTGCCCTTGGTGCTACTTATTTACTCAGTGGAGGCACCTGATAATCTGTCCTGTCCTTGCATCATCACTGAGGGCTCGCCCATACACTTCCATCAAACACAATGCTCCTTCAGTCTCATTCCAGGAAAAAAAATGCCACACAACTGACCTGAGAGGATGAAGACTTGTGGTGAGTTGGCTGATGTAAGGCTCCTCATTCCACATGAGAAGAAAATACATGAGTTGGCCAGAGAGGAGCGTGACCTCTCATATGCAGAGACCTCCATTGGACAACCAACCCTACAATCTTCACTGTGCTCTTTAGCTCTCTTTGTGCCGATGCTGCCAGGCCAGCTGAATTTTTCCAGCATCTTCTCTTTCTGTTTCAGGTTTCCAACATCTGCAGTATTTTGATTTCATTTAATTAGCTTCTGCCTGGCTTCTCACATTCAATGGCGCGTAGCTCTACCACATTTTCTTGGATCTTCCTTTCTTTTAAAGTGAATTCTCATCGACAACCTCAGAAGATTGCTGGCAATCCCCCATTTCCTCTGCATCCAGGACATCATCCCCTCTGTTGGCTTCAATTATGAATGATGTTCACAATTATGCAGCACACCCTATCTGGGTGATACTGCAACGCCTTGCTGGAGCAGACCTGGTACTAAATTTCATCATAAAGAGGCTTACTGTCTGACTGTGTGTGGCAGTATCCCCTAAGTAACTGTCATTCCCCTTGACTCTGCTAAGAACTGGTCCACTTTGACTTTCAGATGTGGTCATTTGCTTGAAGCACATACATGCTGGTACATGCTGTAGGTGTGACATAGATGCAGTGTGGTGCCACACAGCAACATATCCACCCCCTTGACTGTTCAGTGCTCTGAACTGTGACAAGCTGCCTACATCTCACGCTGTGTTAAAAAGAACTGCAAGTCACAGAGGCTGGCTGCCTGTAAGTTAGCACTGAAGAGTCTATGCAGTGAAAACTAATTCAAGACTCAGAGGGTGTCAAAGTGAGTAAATGCTAAGAAAATAAACTAACAGCCATAAGATGCATCCCCTGTAGATGCATGATATGCAACTGTGTCCCTGTGCACAAAGCGACATGGCTGAAGCACACAAGTCAATACTGTGCTCAACATTCAAAGTGAAGCCCTGAAGGGCTCAAGGTGCATGTATGCTAATGCCACCAGGTAACTACTCTTTCAAGCCAACAATTGGCACCATCTAGTTTCTCAGGGAAGGAGAGAACTGGGAGTTGCATAGATATTACTTGAGTTTAGCTCCCAATGAGATGAATAGCAATCAGATAGTGGCCACTCATTTGTGATATTCAGAACTTGCCATTTAAACCTGAAGGGGAAAATCAAGTTTCTTTTTCTCAATGTTGAGATTCAGGATTTTCCATTTTTGTTGTATTTTCACAATTTTCTCTGCATTGCCCATAATGGTTAAGATTGGGAGAATTCTGCCTTATGTCTCTCAGCAGCAACATTCACAAGCAATGTCAACTCCTGACTTTCCTGCGACATCACAATCCAATTTTTTCGTATAACATGGTATTTTCCAGACAGGTACGGCTTATGCTTCACCTCCCTAAAATGTCTCAGGGTATCACAGCTATTAAACTTAACTGCTACTGATAACCTTACTACAATTAATAAATTCACTTATCATAATGGTAGCCTGAAGTAAAATTTTAATCTGTCAACTCCTGAAGGAAACAGCAAAGTACTGCCAACCACTTACCCGGTTTCCTGCAACATCATACATTGATTCACTTTGGAGACCCCCTGCTGCTCTTGCAGTAACTTTCTTACTTTCCTCACTGCTCCCTTTAACCCCATTGCCCTGTCAATTCTCCAACTAGTCTCGGAGCAACTCTCCCTCTCTGCCCCTCCTCAGACCCACTGTGCTATACCCCTCTGTTGGCCTTGCAATGCCTCTCTCGACAGTCCTTTTATCCCCCTGTGCTCTTACTTTACATAATTTATTGTTAAAAAGTGTAGAACATACTGATGATATGTAAGATGCTATACGATTCTTTTTATCACATATCCTATGCACCAACGACCATCTACTTCCAACTCTATAAAATCACCACTGATCTTACCTTTCCCCACTTCTTGCTGCAACCTCCCTTTGTGCCTTTTTAGATAGTTCCCAGATTTGGCTACTCCAATACTCTTACTAGTGGTCTCCCATCATTCACTCACCATAAATTATTTATCCACAATCATAATGCAATAACACACCAAGACTAATACAGTCATCACGTGTCTTTGGTGACCTACAACTGTTCCCAGTCCTTCAGTGTGTCAAATTTAACATTCTTTCCATCTCAGAAATGACTATTTAGGTTTTGTACAGAAAATGGAACAATGTACCATTTCTAAAATTATAGATGTCTACAGTGTACAGTACAGTTTGTTTCTGGTGGACAGATTTCTGCAGATCTAATTTACTTGTTTTCTGTAAGTGGGATAAATTGAGTAATTTCCAATATTAGAGCACTCTCTATTGTCAGAAAATCTTCTGAAAGGGTTAAAGTTTTCACCTAAGTAATGCAATAAAAGATCCACTAGGAACTGATCCCCCCCGATTCCAAAGTCTTTCCAGTCTTCTTCACTTTACTTTATGTTTAACTGGAGCTATGAATGCATTCACTGTTTATCTGAGCAACCTAACTGAATAGATTCTTTGTCAAATACATTATGCTCAGTTAGAAGCATTGACATCCAAAACAATAACAAATCACTTTATGGGTGCTGTGGCTCTGCAACCTAACTTTACACAACAAATGTAGACAGTCTATCCCTTCCTCTGAACCAGATGGTCCAGGTTCAGGTCTCACCTGTACAAGAGGTGCATCATAACATTTGGTTGACTCCTAAAAGGAGTCCCATCAAAATTAGAAGGACAGCATAATTCTAAGGGCAGTATAGAATATACTGAAGATCATTGGTGAAGGTGAAGATTATCCTCAGTTCGAACATGGGTGTAGTACATGGCAGTACTCCCATAAACCGCACTGGGATAATAACCAGGTATCTATTTTCTGTGATGTTGTTTGAGGTGCAAATATTGCCAAAGACACCCTGCTCTTCTTTGAAATAGTGTCATTGGGTCTACTTAAATGTAATTTGATATCTACAGTGACGATCCAGTCAAATGGTCATAAGCAATAGTCAGGTGGCTACTGTAAGTCAATGACATATGGAGTTGGTGCACATAGACAAAACAGCCATGGGAGACAGACAGCATGACAATTGTTAACAGCAGAAAAAAAAACTTGTGATTTAAGTTCAAATAATAATTAACTTGACTACTTCACATGTCATAGCATAGGTATATTGATTCTGAATGGACTTTATTTTGTATTTGTTTAAAGGAGAGCACAAACAACAGATGGTACATTTTTAAAGCTGTTTGTATTACATTTATGCAGGATGTGGTCAGCTATTTCAGCTGCACTTTACTGCCCCCCACTGGAGACACTCAGTCCAAAACTACATCTTTTGATGTTGAGATTGGGTGGGAAATTTTTTTTGAAAGTCACTGTTGCCATCTATGTGTTTAATGCAGTAAAATTTAATTTAAGATTGCATTTTTGTACCCAGTGAATTTCACAATTTGCATCGTGTTCAAGACACTGAGTATAGCAAGGCTAAAGGAGTGTCTGGTGAAAGTCGGTTAATCAAATCCTTCCTTTACTAACTGCTACTCAAGAATTTTTATCATAACACTTTTGAAATATTTACCCCATGTTAAAGCCTGAATTTGAGGATGTAATTTTTCCATAGTTTTTCAATAAGAATGGTTCAATAGGCAATAATCTTCTATAATTAATATGTAGCTATAATAATTATAACCAGTGCATTTTCCAGTAATCATTTCCTGGGGATCAAATAAAAATCTGGGAACACAATATTACTAAATCAAGCTTGTGCTCAGTTTCTATATCATTACTGTCTCCATTATTACCTTTCAATGTACAGGGTACCATATCTCCAGTGAACTCAGCACAGCTAACATACAATTAATTTTAAAAATTAACAGATTTTAGAAAAGCTGGGGCCTACTTTTAAATCAGAGCACTTACTTCAACAGAATACGTTTTTGTACAACATCCTCACAGAAGTGTAACATTGCTTAATTCAACTTTGATTGTTCTAAGTTTTGTTTTAGCCCAAACAAACAACTTTACATTAACAAGATTGTCAGTATGTATTATTAAGAAATGACAAAATGTCTTCCCACAGGTTGAAAGCAGCAACTCAGTCTTGCTGTTTTTCTGATTTTTATAAAGCAATCAAGTTGTGCTCCTGTGGTTTAGGATGTCATCAGAACTGCTGAAGTAAATTATTGCCTTGTAACATTGCCAGTCATTGGTTTCACATTTACAGTTCAAGTTGTATGCAGTCTTTTCAAATTCACCATTCGTGACACATTTTTGCCACAGATTAATAATGTACTTATTAAACAAGGAAACTAGTTAAGAATGGGATCAGAAAAAAGCGGGGGTTGAGAAAGCAAGTGCAATCAAGGTAAAATAAGGATCACCTTATGAATATATTATCTGTCAATAACCATAATAATGAGGCAAATAAATTAAATGCTCAGATTTCATGCCTAACTGAAATCATCCTAAGCTCTTTGATATTATATGGGTTTCTTAGACTATGAATTTGGAAGAGCTATTATTTTAGAATTAATAATACAATTTTATTGAAAGACAAAAATTTAGATATATGGCAACGTGGCTGGACTGTATTTGCTTCTTAATATAATAGAATAGTTTAGAGAAAAACACAAAGACAAATATACCTCATATTCAAAACCATCGCCTAGGGTCCCCACATCTATATGCAGGTTTTTCATGAGCTGAGCGGTATCAGGGGCACTCTGTGAAAACAGATGATTTGTATTCTATATTAATTCTGAACTCTTCAAAATCATATTCTAACCACCTAACCCTACCTTTTTATTAAGATCCCAGAAATCCCATACTTGCACATTGTTCAAGCAGTGATTTATATTACATTCATCAGAGTTCCTATTGAACTCTAATGCCTTTTGTTGAATGAAATATACCATTACATAGCATATTAGGTGAAGCAAGTGCATTAACAAAGGCAAGAGCTAAGCAGCATCGGTCAAACATTTTTTCATGAAATCAGCAGGAAAGAAGCTATTTTTGGCATTTTGTAGACATACTAAGGCATATCAACCCAATTCTGCATAAATAATGTATATGGTATTAATATTCAGCAACATTATGCAACAATTCCATTTTCATAAGAGCTGTCTGATCAAAGCTCATTGTTGTTACATAGTTCAATGACAAAATCACGTAAGAGCAATGATATGTGAGTTCACAGAATCTAACTTGAAGTTGCTATTTCTTTTCATTATCATTTCTGAAGAAGATTGATGAGAATAGGGCAGTGGCTTTTAATTTTTTTTCATATGGGATATTCCTTACAATGATTCACTCGTTCCTTGGCAATGCCGCAAATATCGACAGATTAAACAGTTATCTCTACCAAAGGAAACATATAGAAACGTTTAACTCACATTCAACAATAGAAATACTGATAGTAAGTTAACAAATGAAGAAAAACACCAAAAAAAAATCAAACGCAAACTTTTGAAGGTATTGTGCTTATATACTGTGTTTATCACATTTTTACCACCTTCCTGGGAGCTTTGCATAGATCCACATGGGACAAAGGCCTGGTTTGAATGTTAACTTTTATATGACCACTAAATCTGCCCTTAAAAAAAAAACTGGGTAATGTCCAAACAACATAGAAGCAGCAGCAGGCCATTTGGCCCTCTCTGAGTCTGATCCACTGTTCATTATGATCATGGCTGATCATCCAACTCAGTATCCTGTTTCTGCTTTCCCTTGTTACAAGGAATAATGGGTACACCATGTACTCATCTAATTGCCTTGAATGACAGTGGTCCTCCTCATGAATAATGCTTTTACATCTGGTTGTGCCACTTATTAGAGCAGTGTTTTCCAAAATTTATCCCCTCGTGCTTCTATTTCAAGGCTTGAAAATTCTTGCATCCTTTCTGTGATACCTGGGTGAGGTGTTTGGGAAGATAAATGACAGCAGGCATCAGAGACCGATGACAGTTATGGGAAGGTGCAGCACTACAGGCAATCATTGCTGCCTCTGAGTTCATAAACCCAAAAACGAATCCTGACCTCCTCCCCACATACCCCTCTTTTGTGAAGTCCTGACATCCTGACCATCAAGAATCAACCACAGAGTGTGGAACAGAGTTATTTACAGTGCAGCTTAGACAGATAGAGGTGGCAGGTTCCCTTCCCTAAAGAACCCTGTGTAATAGATGGATTTTTAAACGTCATTCTGGTTACTAGCACAGCATTTTTCTTGTCCAAGCTCACAAATTAGTTGATTCATTCAATTTAATTTGTTACAATCTCAATCCATCAACTTTTTAACAAAGAAATCCAAACTCCTGGCGATTTCATGAATGAGCTCCACTACAAGGTATCACATTTTATGCAAAAAACTTTGTACAAGGATTTAAAAAAACAATTTCTACTAGTTTAACACCATATTTTGTAAACCTACATTCTTCAAACCTGAAAATCTTAACAGATCACCTTCTGTTCTGTTTTTAATTTCAATTCCCCCATAATTTTCAGGATCTTGAGGGTTCTTTCACTTCTTCTGGGACCAAACCACGACATGTAGCAGATCTTCAGAATTCATTTTAAAGTCACAGAGTCATACAGCACAGAAACAGACCCTTCAGTCCAACCAGTCCATGCCAACCAGCTAAACTGTCTGTGCTTGGCCAATATCCCTCCACATATTTCCTATTCATATTCTTATCTAAATATCTTTTAAATATTATAACTGTATCTGCATCCACCACTTCCTCTGGAAATCCATTCCACACACGAACAACTTTCTTAAAAAGAAAAAAAATTGCTCCTCATTTCTTTAAAATCTTTCTCCTTTCATCTTAAAAATATGCCTCCTTGTCTTGAAATCCCTCACCCTAGGGAAGAGACACCTGCTATTCACTTTATCTATACCCCTCGTGATTTTATAACCCTCTATATAGTCACCCCTCAGCCTCCTATGCTTCAGTGAAAAATAGTCCCAGCCTATCCAGCCTCTCCGTATAACTCAAACTCTCCAATACCAGCAACATCCTGATAAATCTCTTCTGAAACCTCTCCAACTTAATCATATCCTTCCTAAAACAGATCAGTAACAGAACTGGACACAATACTCAAAAAGACTTTGGTTCTCCTCAGTTACTTAGTTTAGCATTTAGACTTCCAGAGGTCATTCTCTCTCTGTAAGGATACCACTGTCAATGTCTTCCATTAGTTTTACCAGGCAGATCCGACACCTCTCATTCCACGTTCATATTGGACTTTTCTTTCCAAGAGTGAATCCCATACACAAATTCTGTTTTGTGGTTCCAACTCAAGAACGTCACTGGTTCTTAAAGGCCTCTATGCTCTTTGTTCTGGCAGCTAAGGTATACAACAAACTTTCTTTGATCTATGATCTATGTGTATAACCTAAACCCTGTATGAAGACAGATATATCAAGCTTCAGGGAAGGGTTAGCTTGCTTACTGCTTACACGTCCACCTCTGTCCTCTTTAAATAAATATAGATTTTGCCTTGAATGGCAATTATCTTGGGAGTGTTTGAGTTTCTCAGTAATTTTTACATCCAAATTTAATTATCAAAACCAGACGTTATGTCCTGAAAAGACATTAATCATGAAATGACATATTCACCATAAATATTTTATTCTGTCAACCACACTGCTGTAGGCAAAACAAGGTAAGAATGGCAGATTCCTTTCCCTAAATGGATATTAGTGAACCAGAAGGGAATTTACAATCAGTGATAGTTTCACAATGACCAATCCTTAAACTAGCTTCCAACTGTAAATCTTTATCAGGAATGATTGAATTTAAATTTCACCAGTTGCCATAGTGAACTCAAGTCCCAAGAAGCATCAGCCTGGTTTCTGGGTTATTAGTCCAGGAATATTACAACTGTGTCATTATGTATTGTGGGTAAGACAGTTTGCTATTGTGAGAATGCAACATCACTTTTGAGCTACTAGCTTAATCAATGGACCATTAGACTTCTGTGTTTACCTTCTCTCCACTCAGGTCATCATCATCTTCGCTAAAGTCTGCCAGGTTCATGGAGATCTTCTCTTCAGGCTTTACTCCCAGAAGACTTGTTGTAAGGCCACCTGTTTTAGGGATCTTTAGTACCCCGCACACCCCAAGACAGGACAGGGTTATTAATATGCAGTAATATGAGAACATCTTGATGAAAATAAGCTACTACTACAATGAAAATATGTTATTTCACATCAGAATACAACATAGACCCAGTGTTTCCTTGTGCGGAAGTTGTAACATTTCAACACGTTACGAGAATTCAGTTGAGTGAAAAACACAGAAGTGTGAAATAATTCCACACATCAGCAGTAGTTTTAGGGCTGAATATTTCATGTAATAACAACAAAAAAATGATCAGCAGCAAATTGGAGACTACAAATCTCTATAAGTCATCCAACAGATCTTACATTGAGCAATTTAGAACTTCCTCATTTGGAGGAAGCAGGTTCGTCCAAGGTATTCAAAAGGGCATTAGATGATTGTTTAAACAGAAATAACATTCAGATTTATGCGAAAAGGGCAGGAGAATGGCACTAAGTCATCTTGTTACATCAAACAGTCATTTTAAGACAATGACAGGCCAAATGACCTCCTTCTGCACTGTAAAGATCCTGTGGTATTGGGTCATTCATATTTCACCACTGCAATGGCCAATGTTTGAAACTTTTATACCATGCCCTCTTTATACATTCCATTCATATGAAATATGTTATTTGCCCCATTTAACCTCAAATGCATTTCCAATTCCTCATGAGTTGTTAATAATACAACATTGTGGTCTCCAACAATTGCTCTTATCAACCTGCAGGTAGCCCATTAAGAAAATCTAAATCAACAAGAGATACTATGAATTAGTGTAATTCTTCTGTTGTGTCTTTTCGTTCAGTTTGATTACACTCCAGTTTCAGCAAAGCGCTGCAAGGGTTTCTATGAAGTAATCATTAACGTTGCTTGAAGCTACTCCTGCCAGGAGATATGCTATCAAGGTGTGTCATGTTTGTCTGTCTTGCATCCATCCTCACACATCCACTCCAGCTCATCTGTAACAACTCCAAGACATCCACTGTCCAATTCCACCTAAGTCAACACCTCTTTCTATTGCCCTCTACTTTGCCCAATGGAAGAGATGTTTGTAGCTTTTCAGCTGTGATCAGATGTTCGAAATACTAACCTTTTCTTTTCTGGATGTCACTTTTTAAGAGTTCCTTCTATTCTTGCAATTTCAAGTACCTCATAATTTGTGTTAGTAGTTTGTATATAGAAATTTTAGCATTCAAACATTAATACTCATAATTCAAATAAAAATATACACACTTCTTTAAGAGAGGGACAATGCTGATGAAGAAGTTGAATACCTGGACCATGAAGAGTATGAAAGTTTACTTTTTGCTCAGTGCTGAGATAGCAAATCTCAGTTGAACAACAGTATAGAGGCTTGCTATAAAAAGCCTCCGAGGTGGATAAGGACAAATCAGCAAGGATTCCACTTTCAATATCCTGTGCTCCCTGCTGGAAAATGCATATGTGCTGAAAATAAGATTGGACACAGCTGTGATGCCACCTGTGGGTAAATATCTGCTGATACTCACTCTTCAGCTCATGCATGCCAAATAAGCCAGGGAGTAAGGTACTTCTGAGCACGTATAGTACTTGTGAATTGCATCCCAAGAAGACAATGCCACACAATGAGGCAAGGTGAGAAAATTAATAGGAGAAGGGAAAAATAACTTAATACAAAGAAGAGATAGATAGAACATTAAAGAACATAAGGCAATAGTTCACTGCAACCACTTGGTTTTGAGAGACAGTCCTGATTTTATAGCTATTTTACATTAGTTACCAGGCTAAAACAGAGGGGGATAGTGAATTTAAATGTTTTCAACTTATTGTCATAGGCACCTCTAATTTGTTCTTTACTGGACACTAGTCAGTCCACTTAATGTTTGATCAGTCATCTGTTACATTCTTTCTTTACCATTGGTACATATACAGTTAATTTCAAATTACAATTCCAGTGGTGAAACAAAATCAGTCTTCCATATTGATTAAACTTTCCTTACTCTGAAAGTGGCAGAGCTTGCTAGTGTACTCTTCATCCGTCCCCCGGTAGTTCCAGATATATTGCTTAGTGAACCATAGAGTGTACTTGCTGGGAACTCTCCAAGGCCACGTAGGGGAGCAAGGCCTCCTTGAGGTGCCTGGACAAGACTTGGTTGTAAACCCAGTATCTAAGAAAGATAGAAATAGAAAATGGGTCACAAATTTGCAACAATTTTGAAAGCACAACATGGACTTGTTGTGGTTTATAAAACACAGTTTATTTTGTGGTGCGCACACACACACACGCACACACGCGCACACACACAGACACACACACACAAAAGCAAGAATGTTAATTAAAGAAATGGCATCCTCCACTTACTTCTCAGAGTCTATACGGCACAGATGGAGACCATTTGGCCAATCGAGTCTATACCAGAAACTTCAAAGGAGGATTTTTGTGTTAGGTCTGTAACAACTCACTTTCCCTCTATTCTGTATTCCTTTGCTTGAAGGTTCTAACTTCAGCTCGAATATAATCCCAAGTGTGTAGGCTGAATTCTACGAAACCCTTCCCAGTATCCATTATTCGAAGGGAGTAGAGGGACAGAATGTTATAAGTCTATTCATACACATGGGATATCACAGCAGAGCTTGCAGGGCTTTAAAGGTGCGTTTACATGGTACTTCCATCATTGACGTAGAATTCTGGAAGTGTGTTTCAGCCTGGGACTGAGTGGAAAACCTCCAGAACATCCTGTATCAGACTGCTTGAGGAGTTTGTCTGATCTCCTGGACACTTCACTGAAGCGACTCATTGATAATTTAAGATAACAAGGTGTAGAGCTGGATGAACACAGCAAGCCAAGCAGCATCATAGGAGCAGGAAGGCTGACGTTTCAGGCCTAGACCCTTCATCAGTTAGTGTTTCATGTTCCTGCCTACATTCTTAACATATGTAAAATTAAACAGTCACTTGATAGCAGAACTTGAGTATTGCTGAAAAAGATACGTGATTGAAAGTTCTCATCTTCCACTCGTCAGGACAAATGCAAGAATATCAAATCTCAAAGGCAGCAAAAATTTAACTGCATACGAAATACAGTGATAATTGGTTGCAAATGGATTCTGACTGATTGAGACACACTGTGGGGAATGTAGCAAGATTTATTTAATTGAAAAGGTGCAAATCCTGAACAAATTATTTTATCCTGCACAGGCTTGGCCCCGAATATGAATATATGCTGACTCTCGCAAGCATAAGTGAGCCATATTGTGAGCCAGTGGTTGTGATGTAATGTAATTCGATTCTTGATAGATGCAGGATTGTCAGTAGATGCTGCCTGATGACAAAATCATGTCTAATGTTGGCGATTATCTTCCCAGTTTTGCAAGCATGAGCTGGTTGAGTAAGGTCTGCTTGTTGCAAACAGCTGAAGGGATATGTTGTTTGCCACAATCAACCAGTCAATTGGGATGTATGGGTAGCTGACAGTATGTTGTTTGTGTTAACAGTCCATGTGATGACAAGGCCTGGTGTATCAGGATTGGGGTAAGGAGATGGAGAAGGTGCTGAGGTCCTTAAATTATTGAACTCAATATTCAGCCATGAAGGCTGCAGGGTCCCCAAGTGGAAAATGAGGCATTGTCCTTCCAGCTTGCACTGAGCTTAGCTACAGCACTGCAGCAAACCCAGGACGGAGATTTCAGCCACTAAACATGGTGCTGTGTAGAAGTGGCAGGAAACTGGAAGTTCAGGGTTATTTCTGCAGACAGAACGTAAGTATTCTGCAAAGCAGTCACCCAGTATGTGCTTAGTGTCATCAATGTAGAGGACTCCAAATTGTAAACAATGAATACAGGAGACTAGATTGAGTAAAGTGCAGGTAAATTGCTACTTCATCTGAAGGTGTGTCTGGGGTCTTGGATGGTGAGGAGGGAGGAAACGAACAAGCAGGCGTTACACCTTCTGCGATTGCGTGGGAAGGGGTTGTGGAAGTGTGGGGAGATGTGGGAAGTGGACCTTCAGATGTGGATCCTGCTGGGATGGTAGGTGAGGATCAGGGGACCCTATCACTGTTCTTGGAGGGAAGAGAGGGGTGAGGGCGAAAGTGCCGGAGATGGGTCGAAAAGGACTTAATGTCTGCATCCTGTTAATGAAAAATATCACTCATGCTCCTATTGCATAGTACAAATATACAAACAAATACTTCCAGGGTAATTTGATGTAGACTGGGCACTTTTTGGACTGAAAGTGGCAGCCTTGGTTTCCATCATGTGTTACAATATTTGAAGTTCATTTCCCAGAACCTGCACATTATTACAAACATGTGCACACAGGCCTACCCTGACTCCCACAGTCTGAATTGCTGGCCAATGGTATACCTAAAGTGCAACAGAGGCAATTTTGCAATAATCTACTGATCTGTGATCAGTAATAACAGTATAATTGATAAAACCTAAACATCAGCTTATCTGTTCTTTGCACTGACCTGTGGAATGCTTGCAGAATTTTCTACTGTTGTTTTGGATTACTGGTATGTGCAATTCTTTTTTAAAACAAGTTTCAATTTTGAAATGACAAACTGGCAGGGAAAATTGAACTACACTAATAAATAACATTCATGTTTTCTTTGGTGTGTCATCATGTAGTCCACACGCAGGATGTTCACTCGTGTAACAGATTAATGGCCTCAATTTCTCATCTTTGCAAATGTTAATCTACTAATTGATCATCTAAATGGGTCACTTCAATACCTCATTATTCACAAACTGATAATCAGATATGCTCATAAGAACTTATTTTATCTTGTTTCACACCGACGTTATTTTCTTAGTCTCCATTTTAATAACATTTGTCTTTCCCATCTGTAGGTTGCCATAACCACCACCATTGGTAGAAAGGTGGGATGACAAGAAGCCACAATCCCTATTCTGCTTCAAATGTGCTATCATCTGCAAATTTCTCTCTAAGCTCTCAGACAATTCTCATGTGGAACTATATTGTGGTTCTCTCACTGTCACTGAATCAAAATCCCAGAAATACTTTTCTAACAGCACCTACCCTCAATGGACGACAGCAGTTCAAGACCCCAACTCACCATCACCACTTGGGGATTGGCAAGAAATGTTGGCTGGGCTAACAGCTTTCACATTCCATGGAAGAATAAACAAAAAAAAAGCGCCACCATAGTTCCACACGAAGAAATTCTTACACTGCTGCTTTGTGGAGAAGTTCTAACTCTCATCTCACAGCTCAGTGTACATTTAAATTTGAATATATGGATATAAACTAATGCACTACTAGATTTGCTCACCACATCGGAACATTAATTTATCATCAAATCAGTATTGGCAATTTGCTCCTCTCCCCCCTTTCCTTGTAACCCAAAGATATTAATTTCTTTGATGTTGCATCTTACCAATTGTACCAGGCAGAATTTGGTACCATGCCTCAGCGATCATTCTTTCTATGAGATCTTGACTGCAAGCAGCAGCAGAATGTTCAGACACTGAGAGAAGAGGAATCAGAACTGAAGCTGCTCATATCTTTACTTAACACAGGTGTGCATTACCAGCAAAGTCTGGTGGACAGCACCCATCAGCAGAATTGTTCTTCCATTTCCCTCTTCCTGATCTAGAGGTACTGATGCTAATTGTAGCATCTACACCCCCTTATTTCCTCAGTGAAGATAAATTTCCTCAGCACAGACAGCCATTGAACCTGAAGCAGTTGTGGTGTGTGGGTTAAACTTGTTTCACATTTGGATACCAAAAGTAACATTTTCCAAATAGGGTAAAACGTTGCAAAATATCTTACAAGAACTCAGTATATAACAGACAAATGCATGAAAAGTTGTGTATAAAAAGACAGAGTTTAAAGGTTTGATCATTAATTAAAAGTGTGGACAACATATTACTCAGAGCTGCACATTCAGTGAATCCATTAAATACTGCAGTGTAATATTTCATGTGGCAGACATTTTGAAATTTGTTTTATATATTTTACATAGGATAGTGTCATTTCCCATTAATTTACTACGTATTAAGTTCTTGCAATCTTGCAGTAATAACACTGTAAATTTAATCGGCACATTAGGATGCAATTATGAGTCGGCTAAATTAAGCCGGACATTGATGTTGGCATAACAACTGCTAGCAGTGAAAAACACCAGCTCAAAACAAATATCCCTTTGACAATGAAGTGTGACTTCATTTATTACTCAAAGTTACAGAATTACACATATGGAATTTCAACCTCCTGGCCTTACACACTACAGGTGCAAGAAAGGCAACTTGGGCTAAGCCTGTCAGCATCTTAAAATGGTGAAGTATAAAGTGGATATAATTCATAGAAATCATCGAAATTTGTGACACAGAAGGAAGCTACTTGGTGCATCATGCCTGTGCCAGTGGATGAAGAGATTCCCAGTCTTGTGCCACTTTCTTGCATTAGGTCCATATCACTGCAGGTCACAATTCTCAATTAAACCACTTGTCAGCCTCCTAAGTGTGAAAGAAAACAACTCCAACTTATTCAATCTTTCCTTTCAGCTAAATCTTCCAGTCCTGGCAACATTCTTGCAAACCTCCTCTGCATCCTTGAGTACAAGCACATCTTTCCTTTGATACAGTGAGCAGAACTATAAGCAATACTGAAATATAGTCTAATCAGTATTGTATATACAGTTCTAATATAATATGCTTCATCTTATTTTCAGTGTCTTGGTTAGTATAGGAAATCAGTTCTTAACTTTTTACATTCAATAAGCTTCTCTCCATCTCTCTTTCCCCGAAGGAATGGACTCTTATATAATTGACAGGCAGAAAAAAATCATGCTGGTCTATCAGGCCTGCCCCATACCTTGATGGCCAGGACACAAGACCTATTTCAATACATTTCTGCTGGCACCAAAAGTCTTTTATTCTTCTACTTAAGCTTTCAGAATAACAGCCATAGATGAGAAGTCATTCAGCTCATCCGATACTGAAATCCACATCTCTCCAACCATCTCAAAAGATTTGGGAATTTGCCTCCAATTCCTTACCCAGAATGCTGTATAGGAGTTTCACAACATTAGCCCCAAACCCGTCACTTACAGTTTGCAATTGTTGCAATTTGCAAACTGCAATTATTTCCATCTCACTTAAAAGTTACACCTCAAGTACAAGTTGAGCCAGAAAATGC